CCGGAGGGACCGGGAGCAGCAGGCAGGGACCTGTCCACCAGCCAGGAAAGGTGATCTGGCAGCAACTGGAACTGTCCCAGCCCTTCCACCCCCCCTCCCAGGCCCCTGTCCTAAGCCTCTTCCCACATCCCACAACCAAACCCTCTGCCCTGGGCCTCTCATCATACCCCCTACACTTCCCACATTCCCAGTTCGCTGCTCTGACTCCTGCGCCATTCCAGACACCAGCCCTGCCCTGCCCTGAGTCCACACTATCTGGCAGCAACTGGAACTGTCCCAGCCCTTCCACCCCCCCTCCCAGGCCCCTGTCCTAAGCCTCTTCCCACATCCCACAACCAAACCCTCTGCCCTGGGCCTCTCATCATACCCCCTACACTTCCCACATTCCCAGTTCGCTGCTCTGACTCCTGCGCCATTCCAGACACCAGCCCTGCCCTGCCCTGAGTCCACACTTCAGCCCAAACTTATATTTCTTACAGGTCCAGACGCATGCACATCACAGCTCCCCACCCCCTGCCTGCCCTGAGCTCCCCTCCCCCCGGGTGTGTGACAGGGCAGTACCTGTAAGCCATTGAATTTACTGTTCCCCACACAAGAGAACGGGCGGGGGGAGGGGGGAGGAGCGGAGCTGGGAGCCCTTCACCTAGCACAGGGAAAGGAGCTGAGGGCAGGGAAGGAGAAGGAGGGAAGGGTGGATGCACCAGACAGCCGGAAGCGGGAGGACCAAGGGCCAGTCGCAATCCCGGGTGGCGGCAAAGCAGGGCAGAGAAGCAGGCCGGCCTCCCAAAGACATGGGCTGCCTCAGTGCCCGCTCCTCCGCCAAACCCACTGCGGACTGACTCAGCCCTTGCCTCCCCCGGGCTCGCTCAGCATTCCCGCCCCCCGCTCCCGGCCTGTCTCCACGGACTCGCGAGGAGGTGGCGCAGGGGGCTCCCGAGAAACCCGCGACACCCCTGCCGCCCGGGCCCGGGCAGCAGCCGGCGGGATTGGCAGGAGCCTGCCCCTCCTCTTCCTCCCTGGGACAGGCCTCGTCCCTCCTCTCGTGCGAGGGAAAACAAGCCGGAGAAAGCCCATGTCAAGTCCCC